CGAGTGCTCAGCACCGACCACGTGACTTACTGCACGTTATTCGCTATTCGGCAGACATCGGGCAGCAGCAGATTTCGTCTGCTTTTTTCTGCCTTTTCTCGGCCTTTTTGCACTTCCTTCGGGAGGCCTCTCTCTCTCTCTCTCTCTCGGTTTTACGCTATCACCACTTTGTACCTGGGAATCTAACCTTATCGATCGTCACCTCGATCGATTCCTTTAGAGAGGCACACTCGATATTTCCGCGTTCCTCCGCGCTTCGTCGAAGAGTTACATCGCGCCGGACGGAACGCACGGACAATGATCGTGACATGAGGGCCACGGAACAATGACGCGATTAACGATCGTTCTATTCTAACTCCGCGAGTTTAACACGCTTCTATACCGTAGACACGATCGCGCTGCTGATGGACGACGTAGATTTAATTACTCAGCCCGTTCATGTAGAGTGTAATGTCTCGCGATGGATACACCGTCGCCAATGATGAATCAGTTATATAGTTACGAGCTGCACGGGCCTCTGCACGCCCACGCCAGACTGAGACAAGTTTCTATTTCGCTACATGTGCCTCGCACGCGACTCTCTCGTCCCGCAATCAGTTCAGCCCCGTCGGACGACAACGTGCCGCGCGCTTGTCGCGTTCTATCTTGTTTCGCGTGCCTCTACAATTTCCTCAACGACGACCTGTGGATACGTCTTGTTTTTCGATACGCTATTGCATCTCGTTTAATACGAGAGAATTGATACGTAGGAGACACGCGAGTGAGGTTACCTGCCGTGTGGTTTATCCTTCGTTCGGCGAGCCTGAAAGCGAGTCAAGGAATTCGTTCTGGAGGCTGTTATTTTCGAATGTACCGTGTACTACCTACAGCGTATCACGGAGAACAGTTTCTAAGGTCTTATTTGCGAGCTAATAAAACATATCGTCGTAGGAACGATTACGAGCTACGTAGAAACACACACATTTACTTCAAATTCTGTCTTTATTCGATACGAATGTGACGTTAACGTCTACGTTGTCGCAGAACTGTCTAAAATATTAAAAAAAAAAAAAACAAAGAAAAACCCGGCGCACCTTATGGAAATTGTATTTTGTATCGCGAAACGATAGATATTGTTAAGAAGCAACTTGATAACTACTCCCGTTTTATTCATTCCGGCCTCGCTGGCTGGCTGGCAAGACCAGAGAGGAGGGCTCGTTCTACATTTTAATGACGGAAAAATTCATCTCTTACGGCCGTTTCATTGTACCAGCCTCGAACCGAAGAGTTGTTTGCGAACGTGAATCCCAAGTAAATTCAATAGAATAAAGGGTACTCGTGCTTATTCACCGAATCAGCTATACAAAGTTATCGCAATTTTACGCAGGAAAAAGAGGAAAACTTGTTTTCACCGGCTTACCGATGCTCGCGAACCGAGATTACGAATCTTTCTCTCTACGACATAATAGAATAGCCTCGATGCTCTGTTACGTGAGAACACACATTCAAGTTTCGTGTCATCTGTTTCGAATTAAGTCCATCGGTTGTGTTATGCAAGTACGCGTACTGTGTATCGATTGCCAGTACAAAGCAAGGGAATATGTATCATTACGCAACTTCTTATCGAAGAAGTTGTCTAATAGTGTCTAAAAATGTTACTATCGTTTCCACACCATACGATAGCCACACACCCCACTCTCTCTCTCTACCCTAACTAGAGAGCTCGTTGACGAGAATGTCAGCTTTGTATAATTATTCGCTTCTGCGTTATTTTTCCTCTAACCGGGAAAATCACTCACAGTTCAAATTGGTTAACAACCACTTTTTGAATTTTTCAAAATTTTAGTGCCAAACCACTTGATCGACGCTTATCATTTTATATTCGAAATAAATTCCCCTAGTAACTGCGCTTAACACCGCTAAATGACAAAAATTTTGTATAGCCGTTGAATAATAAATAATTGATTTCGTTGTATCGAATCAAAAAATACTTATCAAAGCCTCTGCTATATATTGTACAATTGTTCGTTAAGTCAAATAATCTGCAACACTTTTTCATTTGGGTCATCGAAGACCCGGGCCTGGCTGCCCATGAAAGGTTAATAATTATTGTAAAATGCAAATTTTGACGAATTCCACAATCAAATCTACCAACTTTCTAACCCGCGATAATAATAACAAAATGTCGTTGAAAATAATCCTGGGCTATAAAAAAAAAAAATGGTCTTATATGAAGGCAACCATTGCACGCAGGCGATTAGCTAGTCATGCCGCTAGCGCAAGTGTCAATATTGATAGAGCCACGAAGAACAACAGACAAGCAGCGAGATAGTTTTAGGCAGCGTGTATCTAAGCGTGTATAGCGGGAGGGGCCTTTCGAGATACGAAGAAGAAGAAGAAATAGAAAGAAGAGCAAGAAGAAGAAGAAGGTATCTCAGGTAGAAGAGCCTCGAGAGATAGGTTCAGTAGAAACTGGAAGAAGCTGGATGCAAAAGATTTCCTTTCAAGAAAAAAGGAGGGGAAAAAACGGGGAGAAAAGGAAAGAAAAAAGAGCAGCAGGTGTCGGCACAATTCAAGTTTTCAAAGGGAGAGAGCTCTTAAATTTTTTAACTGAAACATAACGACGGCTGATACACACCATACCTTTCTTCTTCTTCGCTTATTCTTCCTGAGATTTTGTGTATATCCGTGCACGCGACGGGAACACGATGCCTATTTGAAGGATTACACACGAATATACTTATGTGGAATATTAAACGGATAATATATGCCCGGCGAAAGCGGGCTCTTTTGCAAAAAGGACAGCTCCGAGGGGAAGCTATAACACACACACACACACCGAGCTATTTCTAGCGACAAACGTACGCGAAATTATAAATTTCTACGAAAAACGATATCTTCGTTTCTGTCGACAGTGTTACAAAAGAACGAAACGCGAGACTTTACAAATATAGAACAACGTCGAATGAGATTCAATACGACACGCGTTTAACGAAAATTACCTCGAGCCGTAAAAGGAACACACTGTTAAATATGCTACAAGATTTCTGTGTGAATGCAGGCAGAATGTAATGACGCTAGGATGAAATTCGAAACAAGTATCTGTTTAAACTGAGACGTAACCCAACGTTAAATTAAAATAACAGATAGAAGTGTAATGTGAACCATGTGACGTCAACAACGAGACGTTCTCCTTTTTTCTTCGTTTTTCAATTCTCTTTTACTTGTAAACTTCTTCATTATACGGTGGCCCGAGGATTAATAACGTACCGGTGATATTATAGCTACTACGTGAAGTCCAATATACCACCTTTATTCAAGACTATAAAATTAAATCCGTGAGAGTTTTGACAATAACACTTTTTCCTTAAGAAAATCGTTTGTATAAAAATTACTTTGTTCGTATCTTTAAGAATTTTACAAAAAACTGAATAAAAAGGTTTAACACATTATTATGAAATAAAACAAAGAAAAAAGGACTGAAATCATCCTAGAATCGTGGAAACAAAAATAAAAAGAAATTTTACACCCATTATTATGTCTGTTTTCAACAACCTGAGATACAATTATGAAGATTTAACTGACACGTGGTATGTACAAGAAAGTAATGTTTCTTGCAACACGTGACTCTCTTGCATTATACAAGATGCTATTATTTGATATTGTTTCTTGATGCACCAGATGTCCAAGAGCAAATCAAGATACATACACTGACTTCAAATCAACTGGGACGCTGAATCCATTTTAGACTGTTCATTAATATAAAATGACAGATGTAAGAAACACATAAACCACTTTTATTCTGCAATCGGATTCTATGTGGGCCCTGTGTGATCTCAGAACCTCCTTGTGCCCTCTCTAATAACCCAATCCTGTTAGATATCATTGTAGCGCAAATGAAACATTAGAAATATGCTCCTCTGTAAATGACCCACATTCGATGCCAACTACTCTACGCCTAATATAGTATGTAAAATTTAATTGGACGTGTGACAAAAAGAAAGGTTGAACGCACAATTCGCATTGTTTTATATTTCAAAAGCTAAGTGAAAAAAGACTAAAAAATTATCCTTTTCGTATATATGTATTTGCCGATGATTATGAAAATGGCCCAAGTCGTATATTTTTCATTTCAAGATATTTAGGATTTTCCCTTTGGGTGTATTAAAAAATATTTTTTCATTATGTACTAAAGTATTTCAGAAAATACTTGCTCTTATAATGTTACTCTTTTCCATGAGAAGATCAACGCAACGCAAAATAAGTGATAAATTCAATTTTTTTTTAGATTTTTAACAATATATATCGGGCTAAAAACTTTCATTTTATAGTGTATCAGTTGAAATCAATTTAGTATAAACTTTTCAAGAGTTTTTTAATATATTCATCAATTCGGCATGTCCATTTACTTATCAATTCGTATTAACATATTTTTACATATTAAATATATAAACATTTTGTCGGTTAGGTTAACTGCATTATGCATTGCTTGTGAGAAATATTTTCTCACGTAGTAAAAAAGTAGCAAAAATTATTTCCCGTTCTATCAAACACTACGATACATTTCATAGATTTATCGAATCAATAGATATATCAGAGAATGAAATTAAATAAAAGTACGCGTAGGATTATGAAGTTCTAAAATAAATCGAAAATGGCAATGTGGAGACTGGTGGAAACGTGTATAAAACTTTCGCCCGCGTAATTCCTCACTTAAAAGGTTAATTGTGCTAAGCAACTATAGTAACGGTTCTATTTACTTTACATCTTAACTCCGGTCAGCGTGTTCAACATGTACAAACTCTGTACATATGCGCGAAATGCGCCGCCGTACATACATACGAATTATCGAGATAACAAAGCGGTGAGTCGCCTAGATAAATAAACAAAACCGTACAAATTGGACATTCAACGAAAACAAGTTTCCCGTTGGTTGAATGAACAACATAAGATTGAACCAGGGAGAGAAAAAGGAAGAAAAAGGAAAAGAAAGGAAGAGAAAGAAAAAAACATCGACTTACCCTGCATTTTCAGCGGCAGCAATGGACATGTGCCTCCTCTCATCAAGGATGGCTGTGGCGTCAAACAGCCAGGGGAGATCCGTGGTAATGAGTTAAGAGTCACAGTCGAGTGTTCTCTTTTAACACGATGTGCCACCACCACCACCACAACCACCTCCTTTTCACCACACACCCGCACCACCAACAATACAAATACCACCACCGACGATCAACGAATACACCACTTTATTATCACCACCAACACTTTTCCGTTTCGTCAAATTCGTCAAATCTTTTTCTTTCTTTCTCTAGCAAGAACAACGATTTTCCCTGTTAAATTTCGAACCACGTAGTATCAAGTACACCTCGTTGTTTACAAGTTCACAAAACAAGGAACAGAAAAAGAAATAAAAAAAAAACCGTAATATGTTGTTTCACTCTCGGGCACTTCAGGTTTCGTACTGTGTCGGTAAGAGCGCATTGAAAAATCAACGAAGAATAGTTTCCTTTCCTCGACTGACACACACTGACCGAAGACGTGTTCTTAATCGCATCGTTCCGTCGTGCTTTTCTTCTTCGTTTGCCGACATTAGTGATGTCCTTTACGATGAAATACCCGCGTCACCGAGACGTGATCACTGTTACAAAGAAAACAAAAACAAAACAAAAAATACCGAAGTTAAGTACACTTTCTTTTCTCTGATCTTCTTGGCACTTTATAGAACTCTCTTTATCGACCGAGCACCGTCACTGTCGTTTCCTTTTCGCCCTCGAACATCGGGTTCACTTTTCGACACGCTTTCTCTCTCGCTCACGTGCACGTCGAGATACTTTGTATCTCCTTCTCGTTAACACTACGCGTAATCTACCGGCAAAGAATAGAAACCTTAGACGTTCCTGCTTTTTAGCTTGTCATTGTCACTATTTGGCAACGATCGGTTTCCTGTCCGGTCTCCAAACGTGGAATCTCCAATAAATATTCAGCGATAGACAATTCTCAAAAATGTTCCAGTTGCAAATATTGAAGAATTATTTCCTTTAAGAATCGTCCCGCCATGACCGAACTGTCCAAGTTGCTTTTGTCCTCGTCCCTTTTCGTTTCGCAGGATTTTCTGGAGATCTTCGTAATCTTGCCGATCCTGTTAACGGAGAAGAATAATCGTTGAACAAGATTAATGGAATAATTGCTTTAGAATAAATCGTGCATAGAAAAAAATCACTGTTTCGAATATTTATAAGCAAAAGAAAAAAGTACATTAACGCCTGACGGAATGCTGCGATACAATATTTTACCCATGATCCTTTGCGTCGTATAAATGGTACGGGAAAAACAGAAAGTGAAACCGATACAATAAGACATATATACGATACTTGTGAAATTCTAGCGCACTATTACTATAATAAAGTATCTATTTATCATTATTATAAGATAATTTTCTTCGAAGATAAATTCAATAAAATATAACTTTTAAACTGTCATCAATCCTTCAGTGCGTAGGTGTGACCAGGTTATTACGATATTTGACAGTCATGTAATCGTTCTTTTAAATTCAAATATCACCGTGCCAAATAATAAACACACTTAATTTATATTAATTTTAATCGAAACATTTTTTTTATAGCAAAGATTTACTTATTGCTGTACCATAATCTTGCGCATCACATGGCGTCGCACTTGACGACGCACTACTAAACAATGGTCTGTATATGCGCATGTCCGCACCCCATTCTGCTTCCGAACATATGTAGACCGAGGCACGTTTAGGAAAAGTTGATCGATATTGTCGTCGACGCTTACCTTCTCTACCTATAGGCACTACTTTCCCGTGGATTTCGAAAATTCATCAGCCGTTGTGACAGCTCGAGATAAACGGAAGAAAATCTATTTGTGAAGCATAGAAACAACGGAGCCATGTGAAAAATTATTTTCTTGTTGTTCGAGTGAATCGGAATATCAATAAAGTCTATGAGCAATAAATTTAGTAACTTTTTATATACGATATATCTTATAAAATCTTATCAAATGGTTACTTTCACAACAAAATTAGTGTTAAATAGTATTTGAAACTTGAAATTTGTAATAACAATGAAACGTTCATAAAAATATCAAACTTATCGTATTGTATTCTAATAGTAACTAACTACATTGATAATATTTTGAAAGGGAGCTTTAAAAAGCTAAATACGCTAAACAATGATACGTTTAAAAAATGATGTCACCGAAGAAATGTAATTGTACACCACATAACTATCGCGTAATTTGAAATTTCCCTTACCAATAGTTCTCGATATCATGCAAAGGAAATGTTTCATCTCACTTCGAGTAGAAAGCTTGTCGCGGAGCGCAACCGAAAGCGCGAGGAAATATGCGCGCGCCAGACACGGCGCGTACAGCGAAGCGCGACGAACTTGACTCTCAAAGCAGTGGACCGTCCGACAAGTTAATAAAAACGGAACGCAGAGACCCCACTTTCTTATTATCGCACGAACAAGGTACACCCGCAACCGTGTCACACGTACACACTTTTATGCTATAGAGAAAAATTCACATAACAGCAAGAGAATGCTTAAACGATAACACACAAAAATTATAACTCATAATTAAACTCACTGACCGATTCAATTGGAATAAAACTTGTTCGTCCATCGGAGTTCGTTCCGGTTTAGGCTTCTTCGTTTGTTCCTTCGTAAATTTCACTTAACAGATCAAACAAAATACATAAAAATTAATTTTTTTTCTTTTTATTATTCATCGTCTTCGAAGAAGTCTCTGCTCTTCCGTTTGCTGGAAGTTTTATTCTGCTCGGAAAGTTCACGCAGGTTCCGAGCACAGCTTTCTGTAGAAAAACACAACGGGGCGCCACGAGATGTAGATACTTCTCTCTCACTCCTTCCTCCTCTTCTTTATTCTATTTCATAGCCTTGTCTTGCACGTGTCGAAAACGCGAAATCCTTTGCAGAGCCACAAAAACACATCGTTCGAGAAAAATCGATGATCGAATATTTCAAACGAAAAAACATCGAAACTCTCACTGTCTCGCCTTTTTCTTCGTAATATCTGCGCATAATGTTTTAAAAGGCGAAAGGCTCCCAAGCCCGTACAGACGTATGCAAGTGTGAAATGTCCTCCGTGTATACGTCTTTCGCCTTACCCCTTTTCTCTAATACCGTTCTCTCACTACGCAAAATATATACGCATATACATCTCCCTTTCTTTCTTATCTCTCCGTTTCCGATCTTTCTCCTCAGTCTTTCACGATCTCACTGTTTCCCTCTCCTTCGTTCTCTATCAATTTGGCCGTGTGCACGGTCCTATACGCGTTTGTACGTAGTATACTGCGCGCAGTCTACGTATACCATCCGTGTATACGGATATGAGTGGCAGGCGTGCGCGCCTGTGTGCGTTCGTGTGTGCACTTGATTAGCCGTGTGACGTCAGGGTACGATTACATCGCTCGCGATTGTCACTCAAATCGACGAGTAAAACCGCACAAGAATCCAGGCGGGAAAGGTGGTCGAAGACACGCGGACGAACCTCGGACCGCGAAACGACGGACGATCCGTCGCGCAACGGCTAAAGGCGGCGGCGAGCCTTCGCGCAAACCACCCGCGGTATTCGTGAAACGACTGACTCCATGGAACGATTGCAGTCGTACAGAAAACGGGAGGTGTTCCACTAGGTGGCAGCACTATTTATCGTAAGGGGGCTCCGGCGGCCGTATTGCGCTCTGCGTACCGCAACTCATCGAATACTGTCGAATTCTGACGATCACTGCCGAACAATTCCGAATACTCACGATTACGCACGAACGATTCAATATCAAGTGCACGACCCTCCGTTCCGACGAGCACATGGAACGAAACGAATGACGACGCGTGCCCATCAACTTATTTGTACACTTATTCCTTTATGACTTCATCGAATGATGTTTACATTCCTCCTCCTTGAAAAAAATTTACTATTAATAACTTTTGCATATTTTTTATGAATAACAACGTTCTTTCATTATGTAAAATCAAATTTAACATATTACATGTAAATTGATATTTTATATGTTATGTACTTATGTATATACAGAATAAATGGCGTTTTTATTTCCTTTCTTCTTTCTAACATACTAAATATATGAGATAAAATATACAACCTGTTTAACGAAAGATATATTTTATTTTCAAATGTCAAATCTTCGATATCGAAATACATAGATTTAAATACTTATTAAAACAAATAATTTTAACTTTTATTATACACATTAAGTAGTTTATTGGCATTAAAAATATATTTATACATTCTATGCATATGTGGTTATAATTTAATTATTAATAAATTAGCAAAAAAGTGGTAAAAAAATATTTCATACTTCTTAAAATCACATTTTATAAACCTGTTCAGATTCTTGAAGTTTCATTTATATAAGGACTCTTAAAATAATTTTATAGTAATGTTTTTCTTGTACATTAATTTTCTCGAACATTAATATATAAACCATTTTTCAATGTAACAAAATTATGGACTTTAGCTAGGTTAAGTATATTTCTCTTTGCTTTTCATTTTTTCTTCTTTATTGATATATGTTAATAAAAAAGGCAAAATATCAGGGCAGTTTTCTTTAGCCAATTGTTCTATACCACACTTATTATTAGTGAACAATGTTAAATTAGTACATGGTATCAGAAGTTTGCAAACAGGTAATGAACGAGCTATAAGTGCTTTATGCAATGCGGTGTAACCATCGACATCTTTTAAATTAGGGTTTGCACCAAATTTTAACAAAAGTTCAACAATACTAGCATGACCTTGCATAGCTGCTCTATGCAGAGCAGTAGCATGACCACAACGCGTATGTGCATTTACTACTGCGTCATTTTCTAATAACATTTTACAAACATCGTAGTGCCCGTTTCGAGCTGCATAGTGTATCGCTCTGTATCCGGCAGAATCTTCTATATTAGCCGAAATACCTTTCTTTAATAACGTCTTTACACGATCCATATCGTTATACTGTGCTGAAAGTTACATACATACTGTTAATAATAATCTTAAACATGTATATAGAATAATAAAATCACAATTGAATAAGTTTAATTACTAACCCGCATACCATATACCACGTTCAAACTCCATTTCCGCAAGAGATTGACGAACACTGACATCATTACTTGTATTGCAGCATGTAGTATGATCATTGTGGTTATGATTGTGCTGCATGTTTATTGTAGATGTAATTAGTGCCTGGATAATTTACCTATCATTTCATTAAAGAAAAATAGAAATTTGTTCTTAAGTATATTCTTTTTTCCTATATAAATTTGAACATCGTATTATTAGGATGAATATTATTAATTAGTAAATTATCAGCAGTTGTGAAAAAGTGTATAAAAAAAGAACATTTTTAAATCATAGTAGTCATATATTTTTAATGAATGTTCATTCACAGTATGCAAAAAATGTATTTCGTTTACACAGTTCACGTGTTTATGACTTCATATGCGTATAATTGTATAACATGCATGAATATCGAATACATATATGAAAATAAGGCCAGTATACAAAATTAGCCTTTATACATATATTATGTTTCAATTATTTTATGAGTAGAATATTTCATTAGTAGTTACATAATTTTTTTTTTCTTTTTTTCGAAATGTGATGCTGCACTGACAAATGTTTTCTGATCATTTCATAAATCAAACCAATAAATACTGAATACAATGCAAACTCTGTAACAATACCATATAACATTAATACTAGTTTTGATTCCGTACATTGTATATAAACATAAAGGTTACAAATATACAAGAAAGAAATAATGTAATACTTCAATTTGATTAAAAATCAAAATGCACATAAAATGCAAAAGTTGCTTTTAAAGAAAGCATAAAAGCGAATTAATTTATTGCACAAAATGATTGCTTGATTCTATATTGATTAAAAACAACAAATAAAACTGAACGTTACTATTTTTGTATCATTTTTGTAATGTTCCTTAACTTTGCGCACGTATCTAATTATCTAATAATTGCCTTTTTGCGATTTTTGAACATAAAATAAAACAGTAGCTGTAACAAAATATCTTCGATCAGAAAAGTTTAGAAATATTTGAAAATTGTACCCGCACAGTCTTATTAGTGTCACAATTGTTACTAATAATTAATGCGAAAATTAAGGTAAACAGAAGACCTTTTTTCTTATTTCGCCTTAAAGTCGGGAGAAAATTAAACATGTTTAAGTACAAAATGATGTAGAATTATTGTTTTAATCTATTAAATATTTTTTATAAATATTATGTCACGAAGATTGCTAAAATTTCTCATGAAAATTCATTAGTATAAATACGTCTGATAAAAAGTATGCATCTCTAAAGGAAGTTACAAAATATTGATCAAAACTTGGTAACGAATGTGAACACACCAATTTGTATACCGGTGCGATCCTGCATATAAAATCTTTATATATAATTGAATAATAGAATACTTTATCCGTACTGGGTTTTCATTTTACGTGAACGTGACAGGCGCACACTCATGCTTTAAGTATATAATAAGTAGTATTTTTTTTTATAACTTTTAGTCCTGAGAATAATTCTTGATTTTACGATTCCCTTTGCAGCGTCCAAAGCATTTCGGCCTCTCCCGTGCTACAGATAACTCGGTATCCTAATTCTGCCAGTGCGTTAATGATGGAAAAAGGTGACCCTGTAATAAATTTTATTCCACAAATTAACAAAATATTGTATAATTTGTGAATATACAATATGATACGATAAGATATAATCTTGAATTTTCATAAACTATTTAAATATAAGAATTTATCTACAACAATA